AATTTAAATGAATGATATCATAAAATTAATATAAGAATTAAATATAATAGCAACATTGACTTATGAAAATATTTTTATATAAAACTATAAGGGGAGACCCAGTAGGATTTTCCCCTACATATATGCGAAAAAAATGACAAAATTTCTAATAAAATCCAAGCTAATCAAATATGTTGTAATTTTTTTTAATGAACTTTAGAAATGTTATATTTTTTTTTATAGATTTTTACGATTTTTTTCTGCTTTTTATTTAACCAAATCTTGTTATTTTTACTGCAATTTTAACTTATTTATCTTATTTTCTCTTTAATGAAATAATTGTTATTTTCGTTCTATTTATTTTCCAACACTTTTTTCTCTTCTACTTGCTTCTTTTCTTTCTAATTTTTCTTTTTGTACCAAACAAAGCATTACTAAAAATAAAAAATCTAAAAATTCTATTATATATTGTTGCTGTTTTCTTATAAAATTTATATGATACTAATATTTCATTCTACTGTTTTTTGAATGGAGGTTTACAATATTTCGTTTTTTATTTTTAAATNAAGTCAACATTAAAAATGATTGATGACATTTTTGTATATAAATGTTCAACTTATACGTCAAAATGTTACTTTTCATACGTTATATTATATGTTAGTAAAAATTCATTAAAAATTTGGGCAGAAGGGTAAAAATTTATTTACTTTATCTTTGCGCGAAACTTTCTTCTTTGCTTAAACTTTTGTGAGACGAAACTCTCGGCGTCTAACACATGTAATCTTTCTTTAATTTTACACAAATGCACGTTGATAAATTATTTTAGGTATTATTTTTTTTCGTTTTGATTGATTAGTTTTATGTAAAGGTACTTTTTGAAACATATTCGAGTTTTCCTTTTTTTCTTCACTAGTGTCAATATTTACTTTAACGATGAACCCACCTTAAAAAAAATTAATTTTGTTTCCGATTTCAATTTTTATGGATTGTGATAATATATGTTTTCTTTCTTATCTTTGTTACCTAATTATCATTACTATTTTAAATTCTGTAATAACAAAATTAAAAATAAAAATCACAGAAAAAAAAAACTATGTCATTAAGTTTATAATATGATGAACAAGTTAAAGTTAGTTATAATTTAGTCATATTGTTAAAGAATTTACTGTTATATATAGTTTTTTGTTTTACTTTTTAGTTGATCTTATAAATTAATTAATTATGGTTATTGGCAAAAGTTTTATGATAAGTTAACTCCCAATAATAACCTTAGTAGGACTTTGATCTAATTTAATTAAATCAAACTCGTCTATTTAGAGGCTCTTGAAAGTTTAATGTTATTATATATAAAAACTTGTTGAGAATGTTGTGTATCTATATCTATCTATATATTTTGTATATAAGCACGTAACTAGATCTAATGAATAACTACAAATTATAATTAATTTTTGTAAAAAGGAATTGGGCTAAAGTTCTTAAATCACTAAAATTCAATTATTTTTTTTCAATCATGGTCTTAATATCATGTTTTAATACATATCTTATGAAACTAAAAGACCAATGTCTTGCTCTCCAGTCTAATAATTTAATAAATTTAAAATTGATTATTTTTAATATAACTTTTAATATTTTAAAAAATATAATTATTTTTATAATGTATATTAAATGATGTAGATATGTCTTACGTTATCATTATTCATTACTCGTGTGGAGGTCCGTGAGAGAGAATTAAACGTGTTACTGTTTTTGTACGAATTTATCTCTGATAGAATCTTTGACACTTCCAAAAAGAAAGGATGTGTGGTAAGCATGTTTGGCATATAACTTTATTAACAACACTTTATTCTTATAATAATGACCGTCGACATCCTTTATTATTTTTTACTTTTTCTTTTTCTTTTTAAAAAATATAAAAAATACTTTTTATAGCTATTTTAACCTCTTATTATGTGTTAAATTAATATAAAACTATGTTAAGTTTCAATTTTTTTTCTCATAGCATAATTTTTTATTTATTTATCCCAATAACACTATAATCAATATTTACATGAATAACACAGTTTTGTAACAGATTATAATTTAATTTTTGAAAAACCGAATTTTGACTTCTTATTTTAATATTTTTTGTTAAAAAATATATTAGAATTCACTTTCTGGAAAATTGAATTCTGTTTTTGTTTTTGAATATAGTTGAAGATTAAAATAATTTTCAAAAACGGTTGAACACTATGTGAATTTTGAAAACTGTTTAATATACTTTCTTAAATTTTATTTTTTTAATTTAAATATTAATAAATAATTCATTTATATTTTAATATTTATTTTATTTTAAAATAAGAAGTTAAAATTCGACTGAATTCTAACCTCTTACAAAAATCCATGTAAAAATATTGGCCCGAGTGTGTTATTACGATAAATAAATAAAAATTATGCTATATGAGAAAAAAAATCGTTAAGTTTCTTTAGAAAATCTACAAATGTAAATGACTATTGAAGATAGAAAGCAAATGCAAAAAGAAAAGCACGTGCCTCTATTGGCTATACTGTTTCTTCATTCATGACTTTCTTTTTTAAACAAAATAAGAAAGTGAGCAGATTTTTTTATAAATATTTTCTAAATAAGAAATAAATTTGATTTAAATATTCTTTTATTTTGTAAATGAGTGTTTTTTTAGTAGTGCTTATTCGATAGTACAACCAGCCTTCTACCTACCAAAAGTTTGAACCTAACTACGGTGCGGTATGGCTCCTCCACTTTTGAAATTTTAAACAACATGGATCCTATTTTTATTGATTTCGATAAATTTTAAGGAAGGTTAATCTCTATTTACTTTAAATTTAAATGAATGATATCATAAAATTAATATAAGAATTAAATATAATAGCAACATTGACTTATGAAAATATTTTTATATAAAACTATAAGGGGAGACCCAGTAGGATTTTCCCCTACATATATGCGAAAAAAATGACAAAATTTCTAATAAAATCCAAGCTAATCAAATATGTTGTAATTTTTTTTAATGAACTTTAGAAATGTTATATTTTTTTTTATAGATTTTTACGATTTTTTTCTGCTTTTTATTTAACCAAATCTTGTTATTTTTACTGCAATTTTAACTTATTTATCTTATTTTCTCTTTAATGAAATAATTGTTATTTTCGTTCTATTTATTTTCCAACACTTTTTTCTCTTCTACTTGCTTCTTTTCTTTCTAATTTTTCTTTTTGTACCAAACAAAGCATTACTAAAAATAAAAAATCTAAAAATTCTGTTATATATTGTTGCTGTTTTCTTATAAAATTGATATGATACTAATATTTCATTCTACTGTTTTTTGAATGGAGGTTTACAATATTTCGTTTTTCATTTTTATTTTTAAATTTCTATTAAATATATGAATATATTTAAAAGCTATTCAGTCAACACAAAATTATATTTTTATGTGTACATAGTTTTTCATTTTACTCAAACTATTCTCATTTTTCTCGAATTATTCAAGTAATACGATACAAATATTTACAACATTATGAAAAATTTTCAAAATAATTGTATTAAAATTTCAAATTAAATACGTATATGCTCTTTTTTGTCTTTTCATGATAATCTAATTAATTATGAAGGTTCAGTTTTTTTTTATCTGCAGTTACGAAGGTTCGATAATTTTCAGACACTTATTATTTTTCTTTTACCCCACATATTTTTATCATACAATCATTTTTATAGAAAACAATTGTAAAAATTCAATTTAAAAACTTATAATATCAAATAGCCACAGAATTTGAATAGCCCTTCCATATTCCATATATAATAAAAACTATAAAGTATACATAGGGAATTAAATATACGAGTTATATTATCATGTATAAGGAGAGATTTATTCAATAATAACTATAAATTAATACTATCAAGGGTATAGTTATGATTGTTGAACTCTCATGAGGATTTTATTCTCAAAAGACTAGTAAAAAATTAGAGAAAAAAATAAATAAACTGTTATTGATTTCAACTCTTAAATATTACTGATGTACCATAATATTATTTAAAATTAGAAAATATTTAATATTTATAATGTATGAATTGAATGAAAAATTTATAAGTAACGCTAAAGAAAATATTCTTTATTATGAAAACTAAAGAAATAAAAATTGTATTACTTTTTTTTTTCTTAAGAAAAGAGTTGTTTCAATGTAAAGATTATGGGATATATCCTCTGAAATTGGAAAAATAATAATTGGTGGTCATGAAAATTTAATTATTCATTTACCGATATATAATTATTTAAAGAAAAAAAATTATGTATGGATGAGATCAATCCAATTCAAATATCAATTTTACACCACGTATTACAGTTTGATCCATTTAGAAATGTATGAAGTCAAAATGTCATATTCATTTTCCACACATTTTATATTACCTTTTAAACCTTTTTTTTTTATCTATTTCCTGTCATCAGTTATCGTGTCACATTTCTATTTCTCTTCTAGTGTTTGTCTTTTATTTTGCCTCTTAATGGTTAGGAATCAATAATTATTCAATTTGGAGACAAAAACCCGACTTTTAACATTTTCGTCTTCTTCCTGTTCACCATTTTTCGATGCTATTAAGAAAAAGGATAGTAGGAAACTGCCAGTATAACGTAAAAGGAATAATAGTAAGATGATATTCATTTATATTTATTTAACATAAATTGTAAATGTAAGATAATTATAAAATAATAAATTTTTATATTTAAAAGAAACAAAGTAAAAAAGAAAAATATATCAAATTAATGTAAAAATTATGTGTACAAAAGTTTTATTCTCAACATCAAATATAATTTATTTTTCTGAAATAAATATACCTAAAAAATAAATAAAGTTAGATAACCTGATGAATAAAATCGAACAACTTTATTATTATTAAATCAGGTCATTTTTCAATCAGTGAATTGTATGCAATACTTTCATGTTATGAATATAAATACTTACTGATTAAGATGTAGATATTAAGGAAATTGCAGTGGTATATATAGATAAGAGTGAAGAAAATGAAGCTACAGTAGTGTTATTTTAGGTTCTGCTTCGTTCCTCCGTAGGGTCATGGAGAGCTTCAAGGGAGACGACGAAACAGAGAAAAATCTTGCAGTAGCTCTCCTACAACCAGAAGAGGCGGTTATTCATGCAGAACAACGACACGGCCAATCGTACGAGGAACAAAGTTTCGGTAACAAACTCTGGGTCGAAACGAAGAAGCTATGGGTAATTGTGGGGCCCTCCATCTTCAGCCGCCTGGCGTCGTTCAACATGAACGTTATCACCCAAGCCTTCGCCGGTCACTTGGGTGAGGTGGAACTCGCCGCCATCTCTATAGCGAACACCGTCATCGTCGGCTTCAATTTCGGCCTCCTGGTAAGCTCTCCCTGACCAATTCCCTTTTTCTGGTAAAATCACATTCCTTTGATATCATCGATATTCATACGATTTGGTAATTACGCAGTTGGGGATGGCGAGTGCGTTGGAGACACTGTGCGGGCAAGCGTATGGCGCGAAGAGATACCACATGTTGGGAATATACATGCAGAGGTCATGGATTGTGCTCTTCTTGTGCTGTTTCCTGCTGTTGCCGTTTTACATATTCGCGACGCCGCTTCTGAAGTTTCTGGGACAGCCGGATGATGTGGCAGAGTGGAGCGGCGTGGTGGCGGTGTGGCTGATTCCTCTGCACTTCAGTTTCGCGTTTCAGTTTCCTCTGCAGAGGTTCCTCCAGTGCCAGCTGAAGACGGCGGTTATTGCGTGGGTATCCCTGGCGGGTTTGGTGGTGAATGCGGTAACTAGTTGGCTCTTGGTGTATGTGTGGGATTTTGGACTTTATGGTGCAGCTATTTCTTTGGACATATCATGGTGGGTTTTGGTTTTTGGCATGTATGCTTACGCTGCCTATGGTGGTTGCCCTTTAACTTGGAAAGGTTTCTCAGTTGAAGCCTTTTCTGGACTCTGGGAATTCCTCAAACTCTCTTCTGCTTCTGGGGTCATGTTATGGTATTCCATTATCATCTTCTTCATTACTTTCTTTCTTCTATTCATGTAATAAACACTAATCATTTCTATAATCATGCAGCTTGGAGAATTGGTACTACAGAATACTCGTTCTTATGACTGGCCAGTTGGAGAATGCCACCATAGCCGTTGATGCCTTGTCTATATGGTAAGTTCTTTTACTCACATTTCAGCTATTTATAATTGTAACAAAAGCATGAAATTGGGTGTTGTGATTTCTGTATTTTCACTATAACATTTTGAATTTTGTATTTTGCTTTGCAGTATGACCATTAATGGGTGGGAGATGATGATTCCCCTGGCTTTTTTCGCCGGTACAGGGTACTTTTCATTTACATTTATAGCATTCAAAAGTTATTATTTCTACATTAGAATTACTCTTTTTGAACTAGATAATCATTTTATTTTGTTATACTATCACACTTCACACCAACTTAGAAAAAACTCGTTTTTCCTTGATTCAATCATAATCATAATATTCACTGTTTAACCTAAAAACACCATAATTATTACTGCACGAAAGTCATCTTCATTTTCCTCTTTCTGGGAAAAAAGTTTGAATTATATTGCTTAAGTAAATATAGTGCTGAAAGTTTCTCACTACATATTATAATTTTCATTGAAGATATCACTAGATTCCACGTAACTTAAAGGAAACAAGGTAAAACGACAGTAATTTATCTTGTCCGATCAGTCATAGGATCGGAACTCAACGTGACATTTATTTTTTATTCAGTTATCTACAACAAAACTAAAGAACTTTTCTTCAAACTGTAGCTTGCATCTTGGTTAAAAGTATGGTTTAGAATCCATCGTATCGTGGGATATTATATTTAAATAATATTATAAACTATTTCATCATATTACTATTTTATTTCTTACTCCCATCCAAACTTGTATCGGTAAGAGAAACGAGAGAAATAAATAGACTAGAATAAGTTGGTAGCATGAAATAAATAAAAAGTTCAAAACATATAAAAAAATTAACAAAATAAATTTTACCATTTTAAAAATTGTTATTATTTTCTTTCATCTTGCACCAGACAAATTATAGTATTTATATTTTCCTATCTTTACCTCTCATGTCATGTCACCCATACATTTATGATTATGGAGATATTAAATACGACCATGGATTATGACTCCTTTTCAGTCCAATTTTTATATATTTATTTATTTTCAGTCGAATTTATGACTTCAGTTCTGTCTGTTCTTCGCTGTCTCTCACAGTCAAACAAACTATGCTGAAAAAACTGGAAAGTTACGTAGACAATTGAATAATTGAACAAGGGAACTATTATATTCACATTCAACATTTTATTACACGCTTTAAATTTATTATTTTATTTTCTAATTTCTTTATTCCTTTACAAATACAAAAAGTTGGCATTTTTAAATATAGTATTATTTTGATGCCCAGCAAAATTTTACATACATTTTGTATCCATTATTTTACCCTTCAATCTTTTCCTTTTTTTACAAATAGAAAGCTTAGGTTTTTTTTATAAAAATTTGCAGAGTAAGGGTGGCAAACGAGCTAGGTGCAGGGAATGGAAAAGGAGCAAAATTTGCAACGCTAGTCTCAGTGACAGAATCAATAGTGATTGGGGTTGTGTTCTGCGTTCTGATAATGATGTTTCATGACTATTTGGCTTACATATTCACCACCAGCTCTTCGGTGCTACAAGCCGTTGACGACATGTCATTCCTCTTGGCCATAACCATTCTTCTCAACAGTGTTCAGCCAATTTTGTCAGGTACACAAAACACATGCCTATGCTTTCTTAATAGGAAAATGATACTTGAACAACCATTTTTGACAACATTTAGACACGAAAACACGTGTCTAAATGTTGTCAAAAATGGTTGTTCAAGTGTCATTTTCCTTCTTAATAATATGAATATTTTAACAACTTTTTAACAACACATTATATATTATTATTTTATTGGTTCATAACGCAACAATCACAAACTAAGCTATTATAAAAAAGTTGTAAAAAAATTATTAAAAGAACAGTTTCCTTTCCTAATAATATACCATATCTCCCATCGTCCATGGAATCTTAAAATCCAACGTATGTGCAGCCAAAGCCTACCTATTTTATATGTTCACGGAACTCACATGTGACTCTCAACATTTAATAAGCGATATTGTTTTAGTTTGATAGATACCCCTGCAAACATGTTTTAACAATGATTCTACTATCATTCTTGATAAGGTTGCACTTGAAAAAAAAAACAAAATTCTTTAGGTTTTTCAATCGGATGTCGATTTCATTCTTAGTTGACGTGCTATTCTTACTTTACTCATTAAAATAAGACTTTTTAATGGTGTACTCTTAAAATAGTTTTCTTTTATTAGTTTATTTAATAAATAGATAAAAAAGTCTTAATTTCAAAGTCATGTTGGTTAAGGTGTGTGTCAATGTCACTAGTGCAGTTAAACGAATTGGTACCAGTTATTTTTTGTCATAGACAACCGAGACATATGTAGATGAGGTAAAAAGTCACTGCATTTCGCCTCGGTTTTCTTTAACAGAAGCAATACATAGGATTCGACTCGGTTCTCTTTGAACCGAGTCATATCAGTTCTTCGTAGTTTCAGATTGGGTTTCAGATTAGGTTTCAAATTGTTCACTTTCTCATACCAATTCTCCTTTCCCCCTTCAAGCTCTTTTACTGCAAAATACAAAAATCTGAACAGAAAACTCAGTCAAACAGAAAACCACCGGCCGCAACTTCGACGGCGGATGCACCGGAACACCACCCAGCACCAGAAAGTCGCTGATCATGTTCCTCTGCCAGACGAAAAGCGAGGCCAGCGCCGCCACCCACAGGAACGTGAAGAGGGTCTTGTGAGAAGCGAAAGGTGGCATTTTGGGGTTGCGGAGGAACCACCCGAGTACCCGAGGAGGAGCCCTTCCGCCCTTGCGCCTCCGCCTCTGCCGCAAGAACAAGAACGGCCACCGCGCCTTTTGCCCCCGTCGCGTCTCCGACGCGCCTCCCTCTCAACGACGCATAAGAGAAATCCCTCTTTGTGCTGATACAAACGCCCCCCCTTAATTTGGGTTATCTGATACAAAAATCAGAAAATAAAAAAAAATTAAAAGTTGTTTGTGCTGTGGAGGATGAAGAAAGCTCGTGGAGAAGGAAGAAGAAAGCTATCGATGCTCGAGGAGGAAGAAAAAACCTTATTCGCGTGGCGTGAGAAGATGAAGATGGTGGTCGCGGCCTCCATGGAGTTTGGACGAGAACGAAGGCGTTGTGGTGGCGGCTTGCGGGTTTGCGCGTGGTGGTCAGCGGCGTGGTTGAACGACGATGCTTGCGGCGACCGTAATGGCTGGTGATGGTGGCGGTCTGATGATGGGGTTTGGTGGAGAGGAGAAATCGTGACGGAGGGAGGCAAAGATGAGAGCGAGAGTGCAAGAGATGAGAGTGCGAGAGATGAGAGCGAGAGTGCGAGAGATGAGAGCGAGAGTGCGAGAGTTTGTGAGAGGTTTTTTGATTTTAACCTAAGGGTACTGCCTCGGTTATATTTAAAACCGGTGCCTAAACCCTTTAAATGCATCAGTTACACAGCGAACTGGTGCCTAAACCATTTAAAATTTATATTATATGCCTCGGTTAGCCTTCTACTCGAGACAGTAACATCTATAGGCATGAGTTCAAATATAATCGAGGCATATAACTGCCCAATATTTACCGAAATGTCACCGGACTTTTATACGCTTCGGTTTCAGTAGAACCGAGGCGTATATAGCGCGTTAAAAAAGCCTTTTTTTACTAGTGTGTGGATTTGCTTCGTAATCAGATATCCAGTAACTTTTAAATCTTTTTTCGAATTGTACGAGATATTTAAATATTTTATATCAATTACAAATTAATTTTTATTATTTATATCTTAATTAAAAAGTACACATCCAACATAACCTAATTGGTTTAGTTTATCTAACTAAACTTAGATTCATAACTCGATTTTATTCAAAGTTGTTCGACTTCACTTAATTTGATGTGACTTAACTAGATTAGGTTTAATGTAAGACCTATTATATTAAACTTGATTTAGATTCAAGTAGACTTGGTTCAATATAGTTATAACAAGATTTAACTTAATATTCAACTCGACATAGTCTAATGTGAATCTGGCATGACTTTGCCTAAATTGTGTTTGACTTAACTTGGTCTTGATTAAACCAAATGAGTTTGACTAAGGTGTTTTTAACTAGACTTGGCTCAAGCTTGACTAATTCGATCTCATATAGGTTTAACTGAACTCAACATAAGGTGGGTCTGGCATAACTCAACCTAATATAGGTCAATTCTACTAAGCCTAATATGTATACAATTCGACTTGATTCAATATGAACAAGACTCTACTTGATTCGACTCAATCAAACGTGGGTCCTACTTGACTTGGTCTAAAATGTGTCCAACTGGACTCGACCTAACAATTGTCAGTCATGTCTTAGTTTAACATGGAAACCCAACCCAACATAGACTCGAATCAATTCAACATTATGAAATCCTATCAACCTTGACTAAGATCCATAGTCGTGGGTCTAACTCGAGGACCTACTTGACTCGAGTTTGATATAAATATATGCATCTTAATTGGAATCACTCAAACATACTTAATCACCATGAATCCAACCTAACTTAATCTCACATGAACATGAAGAAGAGAGAATGTTTGATCACAATGTCTTCATATTACAATGCATGCAACTAAAAATAAATAAAATATTAACTACGTTTTACAATTAAACCATGTATGATTAAATTTTCCTTTTGCACAAACATCACTCTTATACGAGTGAACTTATAAGAAATATAATAATATTTAAAAGATTGATTTTGTTTTAGTTAAACTTGAATTGGTTTCAAAGTGTTAAATCATAAACCGAACAGCTAGATTTAAGAGAAAAAAAATCCAAATCAATTAAACATAATTTAATTGCTTATTAATTTTTCATGTTGGTTTTATTTTATTTTTTTATTGATTCGATTATGAGCACCTCTCTGCTTTTTTTAGAGCATGCAAACATCTTTTTATAATGCATACTCATTGAATAAATTATTTTCTTCATTTGATAATTATGATTGGTTAACGTATTCTCTTATGTAAGTATAAACTTTAATAACTAAAGCAATTAGATAAAACTTTTAGTCCACAATTTACTATCTTTAAATTCATTAATATTAACATCGATAACAATTGAACTTAAAATTAACATTAACATTGATAACAATTGTGTGAACTTAATTAAACTAATATACAATAAATCTCTAACACACATATCTTGAAACACATGCACTTGCACAATGATTCAAACGTCTCATACCATATCCTTGAGTTGGTTGTCCATGGTTGAATCAACAACCTCCTCAATTTGACACATGCTTGAAAAATCTAACCATCCCCAAGTTGGTGTTTTTGACAAATTTATCACATTCCTCCTATTTATACAACATGCAATCTTTTTCATTTAAATAATTCACACAGCACATAATATTTGCTATATCATCCCTACCACCAACATTATGTTGGAAAATTGTACAAGCAGCACAAGGACAATTCAAACTACACTAGTACATTAAGAGGATATGACACCGGTTCCTTTTGGTTATAGGCAACGGTTCTACAAACGAAGTATATACCAACGAGGTAAAAAGGGGTAGGTTTTATGCTTCGGTTGTGAACTGGGTTAAAAAAGATAGTATTTATGCCTCGGTTTTTGAATAACCGAGTTTGTTTTCTGATTCTACGGCCTCGGTTAGAACCTGAACCGAGGTAGTAGGATTCTTTTTTTCATCAAATTCCAGAACCCCAAACTGAAAAACTGTTAAAAATGAAACAGAAAGCCAGAGATGAAACTCAGAAATGAAACTCAGAAATGAAACTCAGAGATGAAATGACAAATTACATAGATGAAACAGCAAATTACATACTCAGAGAAACAGCAATATTACAGATGAAACAACAATATACAATATTACAACATCCAATGTCAAAATTCTCTCTACAGAAGCAACAAAATTACATACTCAAAGATGAGATGAAACAGCAATATGCAATATTACAACAAACAACAACAGAAGAAACTCAGAGATGAGATGAAACAAGAAAGCCAGAGAAGCCAACAACAACAACTGGCCCGCCATCCCTCCACCTCTGCAAACGGCTTCTGTCCCGCATGCCTCTGCAAACGCCTCATCCTCCTCGACCCCAACAACAACAACAGCCTCGCCACTGCTCGCAAACCTCCATCCACTGCCGTCGTCGCCGCCCTTAAAGCCCTCTTCCGCCCTAGAAACCCTAGAAGAAAAAGGAAACTTAGTATGGACCGATTGATCGGTGTAAATCAAAGTTCAATCGGTGGAAAAAGTTTCTAACGATGAAAACAAGCTTTTAATCGGTAGAATCGAAGGAAAATGGTGAAAAGGAGAAGAACGCGGCTTGCGGCAAGGGTTGAACGGCGGCTTGCGGCGTGCCCTGATGTTGGGGTTTGGTGGAGAAGAGAAATTGAAGGCGAGAGGGCGAGAGGGAGAGGGCGAGAGGGCGAGGGCGAGGGCGAGAGGGCGAGGGCGAGAGGGCGAGGGCGAGAGGGCGAAAGGGCAGAGTGCAGAGTGCGAGAGCGAAATGGCAGAGGGCGAGAGGGTTTACCTATTTTTTGAGGTGTAGAGGTGTTTATGCTTCGGTTGTGAGAGAGACCGAAGCAGTATACCTCTGTTTCGTAGGGTTTATGCTTCGGTTTTCGGAGTAACCGAAATAGTAGCGTGGTTTTAGGCACCGGTTTTGAGGACAGCGAGGTAATATCATCATTATGCTTCGGGTGATCAGGAAACCGAGACATATAAATTGAACTTATTTTCAATTTTGCCATCGCGTTTTATTAGACACCGGTTTATTATAAAACGAAGCATAAAGTGCGATTTTAAAAGCAAATATTCTACTAGTGCTAGCAGTACTCCAGAAACATTATATCGAATCAAAAAATTAAGATTAATTTGATACAACATAATACGTGTTTCAAAAAATTATATAACATATTATACAATATTATAGGAGTGGCTGTTGGTTCGGGATGGCAAGCATATGTAGCATACATAAATATAGGAAGCTATTACCTCATCGGTCTCCCACTCGGAATTATCATGGGATGGGTCTTCAAAACTGGTGTTGCTGTAAGTATAACTAATCTACTAAACTTAATTACCACATCTAAACTCTCGTTAATTAACTTCTTTTCAAGCCTTAATGTGTTGTTGTTCATCTCAGGGTATATGGACTGGCATGATCTTCGGTGGCACAGCACTTCAAACATTGATACTCATCATAGTAACCATACGATGTGATTGGGAAAAGGAGGTATATATATTTATATTTAAACTTTAAAGGTTTCATAATGTGTAAATTATAACTAAATATGTCTTTTATTCTTTAATTTTCAGAAAAATTAAAATTAGTTTATTTTTAAAACTTTTTATCAATTTTAGTCCCTCAAATAAATTTAACAAAATTTGATTTAAAAAATTAAATTTACACATTTTAAAAATTAAAAACTAAATTAATCTAAAGTTTTGAAAAGAAACTAATTTCAATTTTTAGTATTTATCCCTATAAATTATTTATATAAATGTTGTAATATTTTGTTTTAATGGTGTTTTGTAGGCGGAGAAAGCTCGGTTTAGCGTGAATAAGTGGTCAAGATCTAATTCCAATGGCGCACTGCAAATCCCCAATTAACATTCCATTTTATTTAAATAAGTTGCATAGAAAAAAAAAATTAAATATATTATCATACAATACAATACTGGTTATCATGATTTTCAATCTATATTCAAAGTTTTAATTTACTATTTTTTTTCTTTTTTGTGATGATTTTGTAGCATTTAATGTTTTATATTTCACTATATTTCTTAAGGTAGAATAAAGTTACAATGTTCTATATTTAATGTGATTTTTTAAGATATGATAGTTAAAAATTGTAAACAAATATGTTGTCTCACGTGTGCAACTAATTCCTCTTTCTTTCGTACGTTTATAAGAAATCATGTCAAGACAATTTAATTTTTGGTTTAAACCCTCCCTTGGTCCTCAAGTTTATATGAAAATCTCAGTTGGGTCCTCAAGATTTTTTCTGTCTCAATTGGGTCATATTTTTTGTAAAAGTGAGCACATTTTGACATAACCGTTAAGTGTTGTGAGACAGCGTTAAAATGGTGTGAGCTGAATTTTTTCATTTACTGACGTGACATTGTGCATTAAAATTGAAAGGCCACGTGGTGCCAGATCTTCTCCTCCCTCCCCCTCTGCGCATCTACTCGGCGCAATTTTCCAACCCTAATCGCGTATTGGAAAACCTTGAAAAAAGGTTTTGTAAGAAAGAAACAAAAAAATTCACTGAATTCCAAAAGCTGGAACCCTGATTCACGTAGTACATGTTTTGAACAGAATGGGTGCAATTACAAACAAACAGAGATGGAGAATTGTGAGAAAGGCAGGGAATTGTTCAGATGCTGCATTTCATCATTCCTGTGGGGGCAGCCATACCAATTCACAATCTCTTCTTTCACAACCAATCACTCTCATTTGGGCCCTTACCAGTACAAATTTAATCACCAATCTCTTCTTATTCTCTTACAAGGTCCCACTCAAGCAAATCGATTGAATCACAAATCAAACCCAACAAACCAAAACAGTTTTAACAAAACTAACTTACACCGAGTCTAAAGGCGCCGCTTAACGGAAGCTCTGTTTGTGCCGGTGTGGTTATTTTTGGGGTTGGACAGTGCGGAACCGGCTTTAACGGCAAGATCGCAGAGGAGAGTGAGGGACAAGGGGGAATGAGAATGCGAGAGAGGGACGAGGAAGTAGATTCGGCCAGGAAGAAGATTCGACCCGCCAGGTTCATCACCATGATTGACGAAGGTCTTCGGAACGATTCCGATGCATGTGCACCGCCACCGCCATTATTCATCCATGCGACGGCTGTGTTGGTGGTTTTGGCGGAGGGAGAAGATGCGCACGCGCCCATTGCGCCGAGTAGATGCTGCTGTTTCGAGAAGATCTGGCACCACGTGGCCTTTCAATTTTAGTGCACAATGTCACGTCAGTAAATGAAAAAATCCAGCTCACACCATTTTAACGCCGTCTCACAACACTTAACGGTTATGGCAAAATGTGCTCACTTTTACAAAAAATATGACCCAATTGAGACAGAAAAAAACTTGAGGACCCAACTGAGATTTTCATATAAACTTGAGGACCAAGGGAGGGTTTAAACCT